ACTCCCGTACCCTCAAACATGTTTGGTTTCCTAGTGTTGCAGTCGCTCTCTCTATTTTGGTATTAGAACTTTCTGGGTGGAATTTGATTTGACTGGGCTGAATACATTCTGTTATGTTTAATTTGAATCGTCAAAATAATTGGTCTGGAAAAAGTGTAAAAACATGCATTTTTTATTTACGTTTCTTTGAGCATTGTCGGAGTAATAAAAACATATACTCCAGGGTACTCATCTTACGCACGTGGTCTTCCAGCATCCTCTCTGTGCATGTCATCCATAGTTAGGATAGTTCACAAGAAATGAACTGTCACGATTATCATTGAGTATCAAAACATTTTTTAAAATCTAAGGGGAAAAAAAAGTTAATGTATTGGGCAAACATCAGTGACATTAGCCACAATCTTAAATTAAGAAACCACAGCCTAAAATAACGAACAAGCAAATAATTTTTATACACGTAAGCACGTTGGTGTCAAAACAAAACATTACAATATGCAGTTTTTCATTTATCAAATAATTAGCCTATTTTGCTTTCCCCTAAGTCTTTGGACAAATTATTCTATTACTCCTCTATTAATTTATTCATCGCTTTATCTATTCATTTATTTATTTATTTAACGTAGACATTTTTACCGCTCCATCGACACAAGTTAGATCATTTAGTAGCCGGTTATATGTCCGTCACGGTCAACCCGGACTAAGGCAACATTCTAGCAGAGAAGCCGAGATACTCGAAAAAAAAAATTCTCTGAACTCCGGAGAAGTGCCAAAGTGTTACACGGCCGATACTGATGGCAGATATATTACATCCTATTGCTTTTGATGTCTAGCAAAAACAAGAAAGAGAGAGGACTATTTTTCACAACTACTCCGAGACTGGAGAGAAAATCCTGAACGGCGGCAGAGGGAGGCGCAGCTCGAGCCAATCACCGACAAAGACTTCTGTGACGTCGAATGGTAGAAGCTGCGCAAGTCTGAACGAAGAGCATGGAGAAAATAATGTCGATTCTACAGCGTCGAATGCGAAAAGTTCTCAAAGGTGAGAGGGAATGGATGAGAGACACACATCTTTAAAATAGTATTTCCGTTCCTGTTTTTGTGTGTATACATGTGCATGTGTGTCTGTTGTTTGTGTCCGTGCGTGCGTGCGTGCGTGCGTGCGTGCGTACGTGTGTGTGTGTGTGTGTGTGTGTGTGTTTGTGTATGTCCTCTTTGGAAGTTGAAAAATCTTAAACTGATATAAATAGACGCCATCTAGAAATCGAAGATAAAACATTTATTACACGAGTTTTATCAAGGTAGATAAGAGTTTCAACGAGCGATTACACAATTTCACTAGTAGAATAAATCATGGTCTACCACCATAACGAGTGTAATAGATTTTTCAAACCACACTAATATCAACTGACGAAATAGGTCCAGAACAACAAAGTTCAAATGACTAGTCAAGTGGACAAGAGGATCCATCCAACAATCTCAGATGCATACAAAATTTTCTTTTCAGAGTGAAAATTGAAAAAAGAAGAAGGATTTTCTACTTTATTTTTAGCCACACACTGAATACAAGTTGTGCTATCCGTATGTCTCCTTCCGCGAAATAAACCCTAAACAAAACAATAATAACGTAAGTATAGTATATAAACCAAGCTGAAAACGTACGATTAAAGAGTTGAAAAATGAAGAAACTGCATTTATATGACATGATGTCATTATATTAGAATAAAGATAACTTTAACTTTCATTTTAAATTGTGCAACAAAATTAAACCAAAGGCTGGGAGTTTTTTGCTAGCTTTGCACTTAAATACATCACCGCATTCTGACGTAGATATCTAGTCCCGGTTCACTAGGCCTATGGTGCGCATCATTTGACTAGATCTAGTTAAAAAAAAAATAAAGGCAACGTAGGCCTAGAATTTAGAAAGTTGCTCGTAATCTCAGCTATAGGGATACTGGAAGAGTGGTGTTGGGCACTTCATTTGGGCGCGGTGAGCATGCTTAGCAGCAAACTCTTTATTGAGGCAAAGCGGTTATAATAGTGCTAGAGGTCGTAGCTGTGATGTCACCCATGTAAACTCACTTTGGCTGTGTGAGCCAACTCAGCTCACTTTGTCGCCATTTTTGAGAGGATTAGAAACAGCTCTGTCACGCAGCTCGTCCCCCGCAACGCCTATGTCTGCATAGAGTTTGAAGCTCAGTTCATTTATGTTTTAAGTTTTCTTTTTGTTTGCTGTTGTAGTTTAATCATACAACATGCACGCATACACAATACTGCACCTACTGACCGACTGAGGGAAACATAAATGCACTTAAGTGGGGGCTACAATAAAGGAACATATATATGTAATATGAGGTATTGTTTGTTTTTTCCGGGAGGGGTAGGGGAGGGGCGGAGGGAGACAAAGTGAGTAAATGAGTTTGTTAAGAAAAAGGACAATTTCATACTTGCAAAATGTATTGCTTTTATGTCATGTTATCTCCACTCTCCTTCTACTGATGCAAAGCCTAGGTCTTCATAGAGTACAAAGGGTAAATTATTTAAAATATCAATTCGTTATTGTCTCAAAATGAGAACTTAATTGTTATAGGCTGGGATACTATAAATCACTTATTGTATGGACCCTGTACGCACACCCGAAGAGCATTGTTTAATATCGGGCAAAAAAAATAAATATACTGACAACATTTTGAAATGCAACATCTAGATAAATAGCCGGTTTATCTTAGACCTTCTCAATATTTTCTAAAATTGGCGTTGATTGGCAATGGTGTTTGGTTACACAACACCTCGTCTTCCTTGAAACCCTGCTGTTGTTGTTGCACATGCTGTTTGGCATTGGTTCCGCACATGAGACAGAATATTACGCCTGTCTTATTGGTGGGTAGTTACGTCTGGTTAGCTACTTTCTATTCTCTCATCTCAACAACGTCGACAGTGGTTCTTTTCCGTTGAGCCAGCTTTGAAAGTGTACTGGAGTTGCAGCTGAAACTTCCAGCAGCTTCTCGGTCACATTCCTGATTCCAGAGGGCGGCAGTGACGGGGAACAGTGTCTGCTGATGTCATTTTACCGGGGAACAGCAACTAGTATTAAATTTCTTTTTTACAGTTTATCTTGGTATAATCGCCCACAGTATCGAATACAGCTATACCTCTAAGTTACATTTAGTCTTCTATTTTCAAGATTTAAAAAAGGGCGTCATTGGACAAATGACTGGCTTTAAAAACAAAATTGTTCTCTCCCACTTGTTATGAGACTTCTGTTTGTTTTTGTTTTTGTTTTGGTGTGTGTTGTTGTTGTGTTTTGTGTTGTGTTTTGTGTTGTGTTTTGTGTTGTGTTTTGTGTTGTTTTTTTGTGGCCGTTTTTTTGTTTTGTTTTAATCACGAAATCTTTAGTTCCATCTTAACTGTTTGCAAAAAGATGTCCACAAACTATTGTGGGGTCTGTAGGTACCTACATCTCAATACAGACGATAACAGTGTTTTTAGTTTCAATAAGGTTTTACGGCAATTGCAACTGCATAAAGTCATATGAGCGCCAAGGGGTTGATGTCAACAGAGAAGTCCAAACGAGCTTCAACAGCACAACGCCTGCTTCAAGGCACCCCGGAAATAGCGGGTCACAAGAGGGTGACAAACATACCGAAGAAATAGAGGAGAAGTGACGATAGTAAGGAATAGAAAAGGAAAAGCAACAGTTCCCTGTAACAGTTCAGGCACAGTTATGAGCATGTCATTGATGAATCAGACCATTTACAATTCTTCTGTGCATAAGAACATGTTAAAAATGTTCCCCCTTTGGGAATGGCCTAAAACACTTCAGTCAGTAGCACCGCCCCGGGGGGTAAGGATAACAGTGTCTTTCGATCAAGTCGCCATACAGTACACTGTACAGTGACAGTGCAGTGTGCAGTGTGAAGGCCTACTAGCTGTGACATCAGATGCACAACGCAGTGGGTGACCTTGATACCTGACTTCAAATTAAAAATTTACTATTCAAAGACAAGGTTTTCTAAATTTTAGATGCCTGGCATCAAATCAGGTTCATCGGAAGCCACTTGGCTTATTTTAATACACTGATTCCAAAAATAAAATCAGTTTTAGCTGCGATAACTATTTCTAAAATTTTGCAAGCAAAGTTTGATCCCGTACGGCGGCAAAATTCTAAGGGATTCTTCGTCACAGCTCGCCTCTCCACAATTTGACTGTAGGGGTCTATAACGAGATTAGTTAAAACTGACAACTTTGTCCTTCCTTGTTAAATTGTGATTTTAAAAAACCCAAACTATTACATGAAGCAGTCTTGATAAAAATACTTTTTATTTGCGATCTTCTAAATCCAGTTAAGAAAAAAGTCACCCGTGAGTCATTTTGTTATTTTTGTTACGCTGGTTCCGAATTCGATATTATTTTTACGATGGAACGTAGTATTCAATAAATTATAAGCAAAATGTTACAGTCGGCGGGTCACATCTATACCACGATCAATAACACCAAGACGAGCTATTCGCTAAGTGCAATCGCTGTTCCGTGGACAATTTTTTCCCCCTGTTGTTAAAAATAGAGTCGCTGCTCCCCGGTGTTCCGCAGAGCTCCTTGTTGTGGTCTGAGGTGCTTAATCTAGATATACAGTTTGGTTGTTGTTTTTTTGTACATGTTTTACGACGCATGCAACTGCATAAGGTCATATGAGCGCGCAGGACACATTAAACTTTTCCAGTTGGAAGGAAATTTTGAATTTACCCCTTGGGCGGCCGAAGCCTACTCTTACCAATTTTAGACCACCAAGGGATCTTTAATGAGCGCAACTTGCACAAGGGCCCTCCGAAATTTTTTTGCCCTTGTCCGAGAAGGCTAGGTGTAGATCTTTCCTACCAGAAGATCAGGGGTGTGGCAGAAAGACAGCAGTAAGAGGGAGCCAAAGAGTAGCAGTACAAAGGCTGCAGAAAGAGTCAGGAGCCCAGAGGAGGGGGCAAAGGAGGTGAGGGTGTGGGGACAGAGAGAGCAGACGAAAGCAGACGACAGAACATCGTTAGAGAGTAGGAAAGGAGGTGAAATGAGACAATTTAAGAGAAGAAAATTTTTCGGTCGCTACCCGGAACGGAACCCAGAACCTTTGAATGAGAGGCCAACACCGTAACCTGTAGGCCATGAGAGCCCAACATACTGTTTGAGCGACACACAGCAAAAGATTTCAATAAAATTATGTTTTTTATTTTAACAAGTAATCATGAAGTCAATCTCATTCATTGTTTCTGAATTTTACTCCTCCATTATTTGAAGATTATCTGGCTCATTTACAGCTAGACATTTACAAAAATCCCTATGAGTATGAGTACATTTTAGCGATAGGCCAATCACATACAAAAGAAATCAACATCAAAAGACTTCGCAGAGTATCATTAATCCGTGACTGAAAAGTATTGCTGTGCACCGTCTGGCCTTTTATTCCTCTCCGGAATGGCGGCGCGCCTTTCGCGTTTGACACTCATGACGTCACTGCTAAGACCTTTAGTTATATTTCAACGGTAACAGTCGCAAACCGTTTAAGTCCTGAAACACTACTTTTGAGATAAACACAAAACAATGTATAAAATGTTATTTTTACCAACGTGTTATTGTATTTTTGATTTTGACAATAAAAGTATGTTAACTTGAATAATTGTGTACTTTTAAAGGATAATTATATTTGTTTAGAATCTATAAAATCAGACTTACATGTTTTGCGGTCTCAGAATTGACAGCAACATACACGGTTAGGGAGATACACGGTATAACTAAGTCTTTCTCTCGTGCAAAAGTGAGAGTTTCACGAGTTGCGCTATGTTAATGTATAAGTGTTAATTACATGAATAATTTCAACTGATGTTCCAAGATTTTGTCAGTAAGAAATAATGTTCTCTTTTGAGAGAGGATAGTCCTACGTTAACGTGGTTTCGTGTCAAGATCTAGTCATTCTCCTCGGGTGATGGAGGTCCACGGTTTGAATTTGTGACATCTGGCTGCTGGTACTATTGAGTTACAAAGAAAAGAAAAAAGAAAGGCTACTTATATAGCACTGATATAGACTACGGTATAACCACGCTCATGGTGCTTTACAATTGCATTTTACTGGCTGACAACAGCAGAGTATAAATTGAACAAAACCAACCGTCTGTTATAGCTTGTTCACTTTTGTTCATCCAGGAATTTACCTAACCCCATGAAACTTTACGTTGTACCTCTGCGGGCCAGCGACCCCCCCCCCCCCCCAAAAAAAAAGAAAAAAAGAAAAAATTCTTGATCCAGTGATAAAACAAGTTTTTCTCTTTGGGCCCCATATTAAAAACGGCTCTTTGGATGCATACACAGGATCACTAAAATAAATTACTTACAGTAGCCTTGCCTACGCATTATTCATTTTTGAGACAACGACCCTACCCCCACATGTCGTCTGTGTAAGCTTGTGGATTTTATCTCCCGGTTGCCAAGACGTCTCCACGTGCTCCATGTGGCCCACGTGAGTCTTGAAAAATACTCACCCCGTCTCTTGAATCGAGTCTTTTAGGGGAACGTTAAAGTGTGGTGTTGAGGAAAATGTGTCAACTTTTATATCTTTTAGGTTTCTTCTGTAAATCCCCTACTATTTTTTGTATCCCCTTTAAGCTTACATCAAAGAAAACGTATCAGAAGCTTAGTTTAATGTGACTTTTATGAATGTGCTTGTAGATTATGTTGGTCGCTTCACTTTTAGATCGGCATGCAAAGACCCAGAAAGGGATTTGTTTTTATCCTATTTTGACAGCGGTCAAACGAAAGTGAACGAGCTATAAAAATAGATTTCGGAACCCCCCCCCCCCCTAAAAAAGAGTAAGTCAAAGGCATCTTTTACGCATGGGGTCCCAGGGTGAGAAGAGACATGGCATGTGCGAGTTACGTCAAGTGAGTTCCGAAATCTTTATCGAGAATTTCGGTATATTTGTTGGAATGTTGTATCGTTCTCAGCCCGGGTTGGCCCTGATTGGCAGGGTTGTAAGCCCGCTTACTACATGATCAGAATTTAAAAACAATTTTTTGAACAAAAGTTGGAATGCTTAACGCTTCACAAATAAAAAATATCCACTAAATGCCACCCTTTCAATATGGTAAAGCACCTTAAAATGCATGTAAATCAAACAGAACAACATGCTTCATGAACTGTAGATGGTCGTATTTTGTCTTTTTGATCTTTAGACGAGCGGCATTTAGTTGTTTGGGAGTTTCTGTTGCATCACAGCTCATCTTTCTTTGTTGAAATTGTCCACGTCTTGGCAAAGGCAAAGGTGTACTGTACAGTCTTCTGTGGGCTTCAGTTTATAAAGGATGGGTTCACAAGGACGATATTGCAATGCTCGAAGACTCTTTTTCTAAATTCTTTTGTACGATGATTTTGTCGTGCTTAATCCTAAAGTGTCCCAAAACAGTTGCAATCACTTCCTATCTAGTTTCTTAAATGCAGCCATCTCAAAATATGCTCTAAAAAAATCTTGTGTATAAAGGAAAGTTACCAAGCAAGATCCAACATGTTACTCCTTCAGACTCGGTCCAGACATACCTCGTGACAACCAACGTCCAGCATGGACGGCTCAGTATTGTTCAACAGACTTGCACGGTGTGCTCTGCCAATATTGAGATTCAGTAGGGATACACCGGTTGCTCATGTGAAAATCACACGCATTTCTATTGGTTATTTTGTTCCTTCATCAAAACAGAACCTGCTTTTGTTTTTGTTTTTGTAAATTGTTTTACGGCGCTCGCAACTGCATAAGGTCATATGAGCGCGCGGGACACACCTAATATTTTCAGTTGGTAGGAAATTTTGAATTTTGCCCGGTTGGCGGCCGAAGCCTACTCTTATCGATTTTAGACCACCAAGGGATCTTTAACGTGCACAAATTGCACCCGGGCCCTCCGAAATTTTTCGCCCTTGTCCGAGAAGGCTAGGTGTAGATCTTTCCTACCAGAAGATCAGGGGTGTGGCTGAAAGACAGCAGTAAGGAGAAACGAAGGAGTAGCAGTAGAAAGGCTGCAGAAAGAGTCAGGGGCCCAGAGGAAGAGGCAAAGGAGGTGAGGGGGTGGGGGCATAAAGAGGAGACGAAAGCAGACGAGAGAACATTGCTAGAGAGCAGGAAATGAGGTGAAAGGAGGCAAATTTAGAGAAGAATTTTTTTTCGGTCGCTACCCGGATTCGAATCCGGGACCTTTTGAATAAGAGGCCAACACTTTAACCTCTAGGCCACGAGAGCCCCCGAACATGCTTTGTGGCTCTATGATAATAAATATAGAAAAAACGATGTTAGTATTTTTAAACTTACGCCGTTTGCGATTTTCACCGTCGATTTATAACCTCTTTGTATAGAGGGCAAAAATATAACACGCTCTAGGGATAATAATATTGTGATTTAATTCAATACTTTGCTTGCATAACGTGGGAAGGGGAATATAGTGCTCGGAGTAGTTTATGCACATTTTGTTTACAGCTTATAATTTCACTCGTGAGATATCAGCTTATATTTCATGTGTGAAATGTGAGGATTTATTTGAATGGTATAAACAAGTATAATTTATTGCCATTTCCTTGTAAGACCAAGACACTGAGAACATGGTGCTGAAAAGTGTTTGTGCTAACATACAGCTGTACTTCAGTCCAATCGTCGCGCAAATGACTCCAGACATACCATCATTGCTCTTGACACTGGCTTTCATGCCGTCATGAAATAAATGAGCTATAGTAATGAGCTCTCGACTTACGGTTATAAGGCTTTTGTTGGGTTATGTATAGGGTTCAACCAAAACCATTGAACTCTGCAGGAATAAAATCAGCGCCATAGGCTCTATTATTGAAAGACGTGGCATGATACTTCTACTGTGCGGTCAAAATTCGCGGCACAACTTATTGTCAAATATCTCTTCAACTTTCACACAAAGGTTCTCCAACTTTTGCTCTATGACTTGTATCAGTTTGTCTTAACAGGTCAAAATGTTTGTAAACACCTGTACGCTATATTCTAGAAAATTCCGTATTAAATACTATAGTGCGGTCAAAAATTCGTGGCGCAACTTATCCTCAAATATCTTTATAGCTTGTGATTCAATGTCACACATACTTTGCACAGTTGTTTGTCTCAATTTGTCTTAATTTTACAATTATAAGTTTCCACAACAATTGAGGCTAGATTACAAAACCTTTTATTCATAAATGTATATAAAATACTAGAAACCTCCTTCACGTGGAAAACAGAATTGTTCACTGCACTTCCCGCTTTTCACACACATTTTGTATACTCATATGGGTTACGTCACAGCTCACCATGACACTTTTCAGTAGCAAACTTAGTTAGGCTACGAGAAATTAATTTCATAGTGAACACTTTTTGCACTAAAACTAAAACTAAAAGTTCTCAAAGCATGCGTTCAATAAAGATAATCTCACGATTAGAAAACAATGACGGGCTTTAAAAAGCGATATCGTCCCAGCTGTAAACCTTTTAAAATCAATAGAAACCACCCACTAGGATTTAAAAAAAGTATTTATGAAGGAATTTAAAAAAATAGAGCTAACAGTTCTTTACCAAAATATTGATCTGTTAAGACAATTGATATACGTCACCTTGCAGAAGCTGGACAATCTATGTACAATAAGTTGAGGAGGTATTTGACAATAAGTCGCGCCACGAATTTTTAACCGCACAACAATGGAAAATCCAAGTGGTCGATTTCTGCAGATTTTAAATGGTTTACAGCTGGAGCAATATCACTTTTAAAAGTAAGTCCGTCATTTTTTTCTAATCGAAACATCATGCTTATTGAATTGAACGCATACTTTGAGAACTTTTAGTGTAAAAAATGAGTTCAGTATAAAAAAGAATTTATTTCATGAGTTACGGTGGTAGATCATGATTTATACCATATTTTGAGTAATTATACCATTGCACTTCCTGTAAAATAAAATTATATTTCACACTTGACATATAAGGTGATGGTATCTCACACGTGAGATATAAAAATGTGTTTAAAATATGCCGCGCACTATATTCGGCTTCTAACCTTCTGTAAACAAAATATGGTCTTGAATCATAATATTTCCTTGATCGTGCTCTGTAAAAACTTCCCTGGCTACAGTAGCTCTATTAGATATATAGATACTTTTACCACTGTTTTTGACAAAGTCTTGATATGGACAAATAAAAACGGTTATGTGTTTCATTATAACAATATGACAAGCGTATCAATATAGCCCACACGACTGTAGTTTGTCTAGTTCACGTTGTGTAATAACATGTTCGTTTCTATCACCAGACAAGAAGATGTCAACCAAACATTCTCCAAGCCAGCGCCTCTCCCTGACATCAGACGAAATAGCTCTCAAAGTACCGGCCCCAGCACAGGTGGCGACGCCTCCAGACGTACCTCGATCAAGACCGTCAACGGAGGGGGGGAAGTGGCCAAAGTTCTCGTCACGCAGATGTCACAGTCGAGTACATTTGTTGGCCTAACTACCGAAGAGGCAAACGATGCGGTACCTGTGTTTGATCTTGGAGATGAGGGGGAAGAGGAAGATGGTTTGTTACTTCATATAGCCTCATCAGTCTTCTTCTTTTTTTTTCTTCTCCTCCTCCTCCTTTTCCTCCTTCTTCTCCTCCTTCTCCTCCTCCTCTTCTTCTTCCTCCTCCTCCTCCTATTCCTCCTTCTCCTCCTCCTCCCCCCTTCTCCTCCTCCTCCTCCTCC